AGGCTCTGTGTAGACATTCAATTTGCAAACAGCTGCAAAGGTTTGAAACATTTGTGCCCTACCCTTCCCTTCTCAAGCTGTTTATCAGGGTCCCTCAGGCATTGATTACTACCCCCGCCACTCTCCCAGCTGTTTGTGTGAGTGCTCCCTAACCCACTTCAAGCAGAATCAGCTGAGATAGTTCAAACAGTTTAAATAGGAGCTATGCGCTAACTCAGTTGATTGTGCCTGAAGTGGGTTTAGGGAGCACTCAAACAAGTTGCTTTGTTAGCAGAAGTGAGGGGAGGAGTAAAGCACAGTAACATCTTAAGCTGTTCCAGCTGGATCCAGAAGAGGACATCTGTCCATAGTCTAAGTTACATAGAGACAAGTCCATGGAGAACCTGGAACAAAAATTGTGCCATGAAACTATGGTAACATACATCAGCTGATGGTTTTACAGCAATGGGAAATGTGAAAACATTAATTCATCCTGGTGATATATTAGAAATCAAGTATCTAATGATTATTTAAATGACAATAATACTAACTAGTTTCTCAGGTAGAAGAGGAAGGAGGAGACACCTGGTCTGTACAGCTTAGTGAATGATAGATTCTTCCGATACCATCATCGTGCAGCATTTGGAGGATATCATGGCCTCGCCCACAAAACACAGCTATTGTTATTGTCATTTCATGCTTTAAGCCCACGGGGATCATTAGGTCCTTCCGCTTTCAGCTCCATATAGGCCACAACAGTTAGCCAAGTTTAAGCTATACCGAAAAAGAAACGGACACTCAAGAAGTGTACATGATCTCAGTTCAACTATCTGTAGAGCCCGCCATGAGTTACATGACTGAAGTTATGCTGTTTTACGTTGGTTTGTCTACACCCCATTTCACCACAGCATCCAAATGCCTTCCAGGAATGTGTTCAGTGATGTGGCTAATATCTGCCATTCTTTCATTTCAGTCTCAAAGGGAGAACTGTGTAGGCAGGAGAGGGTTGGTTTTATACTTTTTATTTTAGGGGGTTTATGTTGAAGTGTTGATGCTACTGTATGTTTACAATAAAGAAGGTAATCTAAAGAAGTAGAAGGTGTTGAAGTTTTGATAACCCTTTACTCCTGTGAGAATTTATTCAACAGTGACAGAGCAGCCCCCAAGAAACTCCTAGATAACTTTGAAAAAGTGAGCCTGCACTTAGCTATGAGAAATCAGTATGCGAGAAGGGGGTGCTTTTGATGCATTTTGATGCTAGTGCTTTGTGTTATTAAGATGAACTGCACGTTGTGTTCTAGATCATTCATCTTCAAAGCTGATTGATAGTGTCATACCCAGATATATCACATTGCTATTTCAGAGAAGGGGTAATGGAAACCCAGGTTTGGTTACATATGTAATCTGCCAGGCGGAGACAGGGATTCCTAAACAAAAATGCATGCGCAAGCTTAGTGACAGCTCAGAGTCCAGGGACATCACCAAATTAATTAGCAAGTTAACCAATTGTGTTTGCATACCCTCAAAGAAATGAGACTACAAAAAAGGCTTTCTTTGTTTACATAACCTCTCCCCTGCTTGAGATCAGCTTCAGTCAGCTTTTCTTCATTGCTGAGCTGATCTGTAAAAGCACTAGGCTATCTTAGTGGTACTGATAAGACCTAAGATCTGGTGAAGGACTGTACTGCTGGCACTTAGGTTCACGTTGCCCGAACAACTTACCTGCAGGCCACATGTTCATGGTGAATTCTAGTTAAAGGGATAGTTATAACGGTGTACTCTGCCATCACTCCTTATTTAGCGGACACCTTCATAGAGGCCCTGAGAACATTCTCCTGCACCTCTGCCTCCTCACAGAGAGGTCATCAGTATCTTGAATCGAGTAACAGGAGAGTGAGGGAGGACTATCACACATCCCCTGAAGTTTCTGTTCTGTCCAGCTATCATCCTCCATCCAAAATAATTTCAACTATGTGTTTTTTTAAAAAACTACTTTCAAATCTGAAACTTCAATCTCTAGATAAGTGGCTGATCAGCACTCTTCCTTTAAAATTTGATTTTCGGTAAGTGGAGGAGAACTGTTATCAGATCATATTCAGTGAATTACTTTTGAGTTAGATAAACTACACCCTCTGATTTTGTTCATCTGACCAGCCAAAAACATTGCTTACATCTTGGTCACAAATACATGATTGAAGTCTCAGCTTGTTTTCTAACTAGCAGAAACGATGACAACATAAAAAAGACTCGATTCAGAAGCTCAAAAAGTAGGAGCACGAAAGACAGGTCTTTAATCCCTTGATCATCTCAAACATGAGGCTAGTTTAAGGGCAGCTGTTACGCAGTTGTCATCATACAATCACTAGGAAAGGTCACCAAGTAATGGTGTTCACACGCTAGCAATCACAGAGTATTTCTCAATCACTGGAAAGTAAATTGCTGGAGAAGCTAAGCTTTCCCCTTGGCTGCAGACGAAAACAAAGCCAAAAAAAAGCAGCAACACAGTGCAAACTATTCATACAAAGACATATCTGTAGAGCACACATGAACCTATTGTGTGTTCTTTATGTCTACGTGGACCTGTACATGGCTATTTCTAAGACCATTCTTCAGCAGGGTACTTCAGTCCACCTGCAATTTAAAGCACATGAATAGTCCCACTGAAAACAACAGAATTATCCATGTCCCTAAAGTTCTATGCCCTTTAAATATGTCTGCAAACTGGGGCCTAAACATGCTTTAATTCCTACCGAACAGTTGACCTTAATATATTGTGGCAGAAAACTACAAGCTGCTTTTGCAGTACTTGTCTTTAAATTATATTGGGGTCTTATGTTACAAGACAAGTTAAAGAGGGTTTGGTTGACAGGGGACAGAGATGTATGTCTTTTGCAGAATAGGTGATTTATTTCCGAGTGTCTTTCCTAGTTGTGTATCCCACTGTTGTGGGATCCTTTATTTGCTTCACAGATACATGGGGGAACGTTGCCATTTCTAGCAGCTGTGTGTTCAAAAGAGGTTTTTGTCTCCCAGGTAAAAATCTTTCTGTGCTTCTCAAGTTTCTAAAACATCTCCTGTGTCTGCTTTTTCTGTGCTAGGGTTGAACAGAATCAGAAGCCAATACTCCTGTTGATACTGTACTACCAGCCATGATATTACTATCTGCTTCCTACCTTCATCTTTCTATAAACCGCTCCAGATTTACTATTGGTGTGTATTTTCTTAAATTTTGCACAGTGATTTCCTACCTCTCTTTCCTGAATGGCCACTGTTAATTTAGATCTACTCAGAAACATTTTGGATTCTATCATCTAATCTATTTTCTATTTATACCACATTCATCACCATGGTAGCTGAATGCCTTAGAAAGTATCTTTGAGGTAGAGGCTATGCAAAGCTTATTTTAAACCACTCTGATTCTTTGCCTTTAAAATTGAACTCTAACAACTTCATCTTACCCCAGCTGAGAAATTACCCTTTTGCACTTTGCAGATAACAGTCTGAAATTTGAAGCCAGTCCAGCATGACTTGGGACCCAGTTTTAGCTGCAAATAGCACCTGCAGTAACTCTTGACACCTATGTAAATAATACACTTTTATTTTGATAGTTCTCTTACTCTAAGAAAAACGTTATGATATAGAACATTCATGATTAATGAAAGCAGCAATTCCTCAAACTCAAGCAAAGCCAGCAGACTTGCAGTAAACTCTCATGCTCATTTTCACCTATGTTAACACGCCTGTCTAACCTTGAAATCTGGTTATTATTAACTATACAGTAAAACTCTGTGTATATGTATGTGTATTTGTATATATACAATGACATAACTGCATTACATGGTTTTAAAACAGAACACAAAATTTTGTTCCATATACTCAGTTCTGTGTACTTTGTGATGCTGCACCATGGAATTTGCCAAACATTACACCTCTAATTTTAAAAATAATACACCAGAAGCTATATTTTTACATCAAGAGATTTTACCCCTGCACTTTTGAAGAAATCTGGAAAACAACAGAAGGTCTAGCTAGTACCTAGGGAAGGTCTGAACTACTCCGTTCATCCCTATGTTCCTAAACAATACCAGCAATACACTTATGAACTGTAAATTTAAGGGAAAAAAAAGAAGACTGCCCATACTGAACATGGGAATAGCATAAAGTCAGCTGTATTTGTCAAGTTTTTATATTAGTTGTAGTATTCACTTTCAAATTCCATCATCTTTGGCTTTTCAGTTTGGTATTCTTAGCAAAAGCTCGTATTATCTGACAGTTTCTTCCCTCCCTCCATCTTGAACTCACTGGGCAACTTCAACCAAGCTTGAGTCAAGGGTAGAGGCCTGAAAGATGTAAACATTTCCAGTAGTTGTGTAAAGAAAATAGCTGAGAAGCTTGCAGAGAAAGGCCAATATCACCCTCACAGAGAGATTGCAGCATCAGCACAGCTATAGTATTAGACAACAACAACTTAACATGGCAGAGGCGACTTCCCAGGTGCCACTATCTAAAAGGCTATTTGCTTAATTTGCCCAAACGGCTACAGAAAGCCAGCAGAACAGCGCAGAATGCAGCAACACAGTGATGAATTTGTCATCGTTGGAGCACGTATGGCCACCCAAATCTTTATCTGCTTGGAAACAGATCATTACAGCCAGTTCCAAAAATGGCAATTCAGGCTGTTTAGACACACCAGAAAAGAGAGAGATTTAAGTTCCTCCAGGGGTACTCCAGGATGCAAACAATAACCCAGCTCCACACTATATAGAACCACCCCCACTATGAGAAGTGCGTCATTCAAAAGCAACTGCACACATATGTATGTGCAGAACCTCCTATCCAATGGTTTCCATCCTTAAATAAAATTGCTTGCAGATCGAACTAACCCTCTATTACTCTAGCTTGAAAACTGCACATCTTGTCTCCTGTGCACTGAATGGAATATTTTCTCCTATTATTGTCTGAGTCATTTAAAATACCATTCAAATCACTTTCATGCAAGGTAGTTTTTATCAATATCAAACATGCTCAAGTTTCATGGATTGGTAAGTTTCCCACAACATGCTGTTCATAAAGCGTAGATCTGTTTGTCACAACGATGCCATATGAAACCTCATCTGAGGCCCAGAAGAGCTGATGGTAATACAGAACTGATTTCTTCATACGGACCATGAAGCAAACAAGAGATCACAATAATCTGATGAGAGACGATCTTGACATCCTCCAGCCCAGCCTACCTCTGCAGATATGTCAGCTAGACTTGTTCGGACAAGAAAATCAGTTTGTTGTTTGTTTGCTTTTAAAATACATCAAATGAGTCAACACATCAACAAAGCAGCAACATATTTTTCCAGTTACTAAATGCATTTGTTAATCAGCCAAACCAGATATCAAGAAGCCTCTTTGTGGAGATGAAGTCTTTGGTTCTCCAAGTCACCACAAGCACTGTCACACACAACACAAACATCATTTTGATTTAATCAGGCTTTAAGAAAACATTTATGATAGCTGAATACAGCTGTCCAAAATCACGGAGATCCAAACTGCACGTGACAGGATCAACCCCAGAGGCACAAAAAGGGGTCTGACCAAGGCTTGCCGCGGGAATAGGGCACTAGCTGGTCTGAAGCACCATTAAAAGCAACATGCCATTCCTCATTTCCTAAACTCCTGCTATTTATACCAAATATCTTTCCGAGTCTGTTTAACTTTCTCAAGCAGCAGAACTGTTTTTAAAAAAAGGCTTTTGAGGAAAATCTTGTGAATTTTTCAGGTTGCAACAAGTCACACACCAGAAGGGCTCTGAGGCTGGTACTGGCACACAGTACTTGGAGGTGGAAACACAGCCTTCCATGGAGGCCAGGGGCTAATTCTCTTCAGTAACACGAAAATCCTGGCATATTCTTTCTGCCAACAGGAGAATGGGCTGTTTCCTTCTCCAAGGCCTTCCCACAAAAAGATTCACAAAAACTGGAGCTGGACCTTGCTGCTAACTCAAGCAAATACACCTTTATTGGGCATTTGCATATTAAAACCGATTGAGACTCCCCAAAATCTCTAGTTGGACTTAACTCACTACAAGTATTCATCCATTTAGCAGTAAAAATGCTGAGTACGGGGTGTTGTTTTGACTCTAAGTTCACAGGTCCAACATCCAACAGCTGTCACCTACTGCAGAGTGCTCAAACCTGTGGTAGTTGTCCTGTTGACAACTGTCCATGGATTTACACTTTTTTTGCTTCTCTACCCCAAGCACCATAAGGGTTTGTGCCAGCCTGAGCGTTTCTAAGTTATACAACCTCAGTCACCATCAAAACTTAGTATTTCTCTACATGAGATGTCAAAGGAAACACATCTTCCCAAACCAGTATTTTCACCTTCTGCTATATGGAAAAAGATAATTTTCTCAAATACTCTTTGCTGCTTCTTCCCCCTCAGCTCCTGCGTCTCCACTCATACCTCCCTGCATCCAGCTCCACTTGTTTTGGGGGGCTGAAAAACATGTCAACTAACAGACAAACTGGGACTCTTCCGTGAAGTATAGAATTTTGCTAATGAATTACAAAATGTTTTGATACTACTACTGTGTAAATGCAAAACCCAATGGTTCAAGTCTCCTATATCATAGCTTCAGCATTTGCGAAAACAAAGACTTTCAAGTCTGTGGACACCTGGTTTCACACAATACCTTCACGTACACGACAAAGCAACAGGTCTGTTTGGCAACTGGAAAAAAAACCCACAATTGCAGCACCTGTAAACATATGCAAACTGTTCCTAATCTATATATCTCAGCTATGGGTAGCAGTGACGATGCAGCAGCATGGAGTGGGCTGTGGGTGATTAACCAAGTGGGTGGCTCTTCCATTGATCTCTTCACCCTGCTTGTTGCCCAAGCAAAGCAGATCCCAGCTAAATCAAATGTATTTACCCACACTATAAGCAGACCCCCAACTGAGGCAGACATGCATGGCCACTCCACTATTCTGTGGGCCCCTGCATACCAAATTTCCTCTTGCCTATAATCCCACTGTGAGAAATGTTAAGGTTTGTAGCAACTCTTTAGAGCAGCTAAGGAAGAAGTACTTCTGTGGTACTTGTGTGGGTGCGGTGCCTTTCCTCAGATGGTTTTATCTTGTTGTTTGTGGGGGTTTTTTTGCATAAAGTCAGCTATCATTACAGTAGCTGAGGCTGTCACATCATGAGGTTGAAAGTAAGAAAGACTATCAGTAGATGCAAGCAGTGAGGTGAAGATTCAGTACTAATAATCTCAAAGCCTGACAACAAGAAAGTGGATATCACACACTGACAAAATAAGCAGATGCAATCAAGCAGCTGCACCCTTTACAATAGAGCAAGTTTTTCATCTTATCTATTTATTGCAGACCCACTATTACTTTTCCACTTAGCCAGGCACTCTAGCTCCCTCAGGAAAGGTATGGAATTGGCATGAAAAAAATAGGAAAGAAAAGATAGAAATAGGAAAGAATAGAAAGAGAAAAGAAAAAATAGGAAAGAAAAACGTTTCTTACTGTTTGAAAAATGTATCTGCTTCACAGCTTTATGGACAAAATATGGGATTCTAATGTAATTCAGGAGCTCGGAGTTACAGAGAGTGAGGCAATAGTTTAAAGATTCTCCAGCAGTCACAATCTGCCCAGCACACTGCAGGAACACAGCCATCATCACTTACTTCCTAATGACAAAGTCATGGCTCATCTCTGTGCGCCACACCCCTGCCCCATTTCTCATTCTCTGGAATGAGAAAAAAGCATAACACAAGGGGCTTGTTCTATATTGTACTTCTCTAACACAATTCAGTTTAAAAAAAAAAAAATGCCTGCCTGATTTAATAGCCAGAAGGCCAGATCCTCCCCACCTACATCACCAGCAAATCAGCCAGTTTGGCGGAACTCACTCTCAGGTAGTCATTCTGACCACTTACTGCAGTACCAAATAGCTCCCAGGGGAACTAAATGTATATATATATATGTGTGTGTGTGTGTGTATCAACTGTTGTCATCACTTTGGGATACAAACTTGCCTGAGGTCTGAAGAAGAAGAAACATGCGGAGGCCCTAAATGCTGCCTCAAAATTGCTGTGAAGCTTTTGTGCTTCCTGCAAAACTCCCTGGGGGGAAAAAAAAGTTTATCTTAGTATATCCAAGTGAGTCTTATGTGGGAGTTCACTGCAGAACACACGTGGAGAAGATGGTGGTAGCCTTTTGTATCATAACTCAGTGTCTGCAGCACACTCCTAAGATGTTGAAGACCCAGACTGCTCTTTTCCACAGCTCCCACTTCTCAGCAAGATCTTCCAGCCATCAGAATATAAAGTGCTCAATCCCACTCCCATGTGTCTCCTACTGCAGCTGGCACACTGAGCTGCAAAGAAGACAACTTTCAATGGGCCAGTAAGAAAGTAAGCATGAATTTTACTCCTTACTGATGAACATCTCCAGAAGGCAGGAATCTGGTTCTCACTCAGGGACCGCTTGTACTTTTCCATTTAAGAATCCACCTCTCATTACCTACCTTCCTAGAGCCCAGTATTCTTGATCTGTAAGGGAGAGAGACACCCCCAGGCAGTCCCAAGTCAGGCACCTGGTCTCAGGTACACACATCTTCATCCATCGCTTCCCATTGGCTAGCCCAAGTGCTTCTTCCTCAGCCCACAGGCTTCATCATCCCATAGGCTCATTACACACAGAAGGAGAGGTATTGCCTCAGGCACGCTGACATGCCCTCTGAGCTTTCTGTCTTTACTTACTATGTGGAGACCTGCAGGACTTGGGTCAGCTGCTTGGAGTCACTGCCTGATGGCCAGGACTTAGTTTTGAAGCATCATTTCACTTTAACCCAGTGCCTGAAGCTACTGGGTCTATTGGAGTCCTCGGTCATGTTTTCTAAAGCACTTGTGCGACCTCAGATCCCCAGAGTAACTTTCAGACTGACTCATTGAAAACGCTCTCTACAGCCTCCAGTTATCTCTTCAGGCCAAGAGGTAAGCAGGATTGAAAAATAAAAGAGGGGAGGGTATATATGTATATATGCACATAAACATTGTGCTAATATTTAACACCACAATGAAAAAGCATAGAAAGATATTTTACAAATTACATAAACCATTAAGTTTCTGAGTGCAAATGAGGTACTCCGTGATATAAACTAAGGAGACATTTCCCTTTTGGTAGAGGATTCTCTAATGATCCACTGGTTTCTCTTAGCAGTGCTTTGAACTAAGCGGCAGTTCCTCTGGAGGTAGTGAGGTTCAAACCATGCAGAGCTTCACTAGTTAAAAACTGTTCTTTTAAACTGAACTATATGCCAAACAAACAAGAATATAAAAGATCTTGACCATCACTTGACAGTTTCTTCTAAATTCCCCTTTGATGCCCAGTTTGGAGTCCAGCACTTGTGAGCAGGTAATTTCTTCCCCATCCTCTCCAAGCAAACTCTAACAGGGCTGTCTTGTCTCCTTGCAGGTGGCAGGAAGAAATTATCACAAAAAGGAAATCCTATCATAGCCCGATGAGCATTATTTTCAGCAGCTCTGTCTGTTTAAGAGTCCCTGCTCCTTGTACCTCCTAGGTTGCTGCACATAAATCAGAGCAGGGAGCTGAGCTGGCTAACCCCCCCCAACCCTTCTTTTTGAGCCAGGATTTTTTCAGCCAGAGCAGCTCTCCCTTTGCACTTCACCACATGCCCAAATGCTTGTACCAGCATAGCAGAAGGAGGAGTAAGGGAGTGGGAAGGAGTGGCTGGAAGTAGGAAGAGGTGAGGGAGCAGAAGGGACTGCTTCAGCGGCTCTGAGGCCCGCAGCCTAAAAAAATAACTACCTCACTGGGATCAAGTACTGCGAGGGTGCCCTTGTGAGGATGGATGTGCTCTCTCCCTGAAATGCTTCACCTGATGAATCTTTGTGTGCTAGTGAGTGTCTAATTCACTGTAACGGAGATCTACCACTGAATGCACTCATTATTTTCCAGCGCAGACTTTACCTGCTAACAGACAGAGGGTTTAAGGCAAACACCGCCAACATCTC